ACGTTCAGATATACATTTTCTTGACATTCTCCAGTCGAAATTTCTGACAGATCGGGAGAGCGTAAACGTGAACAGAAGGTGAACGTCACGGGTAACGAGCGCTTCTACCGCTGTAATCGGAGTCTAAACTCGCTCATAGGCATGAGGTAAGCGGAGGTAAGCGGAGGTTGAACCTGCCATTGCAGTACACCAAGCGAACAATCAGACAAGTCAGCTGCCGCTTACTGGGCCGCATTCCACCTTCGCCCATTACCACCACAACCCTCTTCCACCCTTCAACATGGTTTTCGGCCTCACGATGGGCACGGACCGCGCGACGGCGCTGCAGAGCATGATAGAGAACGAACTGGTAAAGAGAGGTCTCGGTACAGAGCCAGGTGAGTTGAAATCATCGATATTTTCGCATGTTCAAGAGATTTACCCCGCACGCAAGACTCTGTCATGGCCGAGTATGTCACTATAATGCTGATCAACAACAAAACGCCTGGTGAGTAACACCTTCGAGGTGTCTGGTGTCTGCTTGGGTTCAGGGCGCGACGTAATCAAGTTGTAAACTGAGCCCTGGCGACACCATTATGACCCTCATGACAGGTATCAATGCTGACTTATCTCGTCTCGTAGCCCAGATCAAGACTGAGTTGTCAGATTGTGAGCGCGTTTGACCTCATCACTTCTGAGTGTGTTGTACTGAAGTTTTGGTGGATGGGCTAGTGGTTGGCAACGAAGGAGGTACGTCGCACATTCGCCTCGCTTCTGCATGTCGCTCACGGCCCTTGAAGATATCACCGGTTTCGTCGACTGGCTGTTTGAAGAGGCAAGCAAGGGCGCACCACAGGCAGAGGTCCCTGCCCCCGCCGAACCCCCCACCCCGTCGCAACAGCCCCCACGCGACTCCCCGCCTCATCAACCAGCTGATGCTCGACGACTTCCTAGTGGCCCTCGCACCGGTCCGCCGATCTACCAGCAGGCCCTGTCTCAAGCACTCCCCACCACCTCTCCTACAGGTCAAAAACGTACAGCATCCGCGCGTTCACCGTCGCCAAGTGGACACCCGCCAAACAAGTCGAGACGCACTGACCTTCCCACTGGTCCGCGCGCCATGTTCCGCGACCGCGACCACAACAATCACGGCTCCGGCGGCGGCCCACGTAGTCTATTGGATCGCATGGGTCCAAGAAATGGTCATGGCCCACAGTTCAACGCTCACGACGACGTGCAAGCGCGCATTGACAGCATCACGAACGGCTCCCCAGACCCCAACATGATGATGATGAACGGCGGCTTCCCGATGAACGGCATGCCTGGGATGGATATCGCTATGGGCATGGCAAATCCAATGATGTTGCAGGAGCTGATGCTCAACCAAATGGCCATGATGTCGCAAATCGCAGGTGCCATGGGTATCATGAACCCGGCAACAGGTCAGTTCATGAGTGGCGGAGGGTTTCCCATGCAGCCGGGTATGGGGGACATGAACCAGCAGTTTGGTGGGATGAACGGCGGGATGGGTCCGGGAGGTGGTGATGGTCGTGGGCGTGGTAGAGGACGTGGAGGTACGGTGAGGGGAGCCGCTCGGGGACGCGGAGCTCATACGGGTCACCATGCGACGGAGCCACAAGGCGAAGCTGTTGCACCGACACTCACGCCCCCTGTGCCGGTGACACAACCCGCTACGCCAATACCTATCTCGAAGTCTGCACCTGCAGTGGTCGCGCCTACACCTCTCACACCCTCGTCATCCACCGGTTCTTCGCGTCCAGGTTTCGTAGCCCCAGAACGCCCCCAATCCCCAACATTATGCAAGTTCGCCCTCAAGTGTACGAATCCCATATGTCGGTACTCCCACCCATCGCCAGTCGCGACAGCGGAAAGTGGCGTCGTACTCAGTAACGATCCTTGCGAGAAGGGCAAGGACTGCAAGGATAAGGACTGTGTCAAGGGCCACGTCAGCCCAGCGGTCCTAAATCCCAATGGTGCGTACCCCCTCACGTCGTGGATGTCTTCCAGTTTCTTACGGGTTGATGTGCAGCTGAGGTCCCCAAGCCTTCTACTTACATCCCCCCATCCGCATCTGCCCCATCGCAGCCGAGCGTACCATGCAGATTCGGTGCCAACTGCACCCGTCCTGGTTGCACCTTCGCCCATCCTCGACCCGCTAGCCACTCCAACATCCCTTGCAAGTTCGGTGCGGCTTGCACACGTGCGACCTGCACGTACCAGCACCCTGAAGGTCGTGTACTCCCGACAACCTTCCACCGCGGGCTGTCGACCTCTAGCCCGACGGTCAACGTCCCGACTCCGGAGACTGGCTCCATAGGGAGCGCGAGCCACAATAGGAGTGTAACATTCAAGCGGCCGGACGGCACGCCGACGACCGCTGCCGAGCTAGAAAGGAAGGTGAAGGAGATGGAGGAGCGCAAGACCGAGGCGCAGAAGCGAATTGCACAGGCGCAGGCGGATAAGAAAGAGGATCCGTCGCCGGCTGTGCCCATCTCGGCGTAGGCTACGCGTCTTCCAGTGGTCGCGCCGTACTTCGGTCCTACTCTCTCGTGCGTTGTGCGAGTATAGGACGAATCGTCAATCAACGTTTCACAAGTCAGGGACAAGTTGTAGATTTTCTGGCTCGCTGATCGAATATGTAGTACTCCACTTGTTTTCCTTCTGTCATGCATTAGTCGGTACTGCCGTGCTCCACCCCCCTACACCCGCCGCTCAGGATTTGTTGCCCTCCCCTCTAGCCCTACCTACCCTCTTGTATCCGCTAATTCATTGCTACGGCTCATCATCGTACTTATGCGTAGTCGGTATACGGATATCTCACAATCCTGAAGCGCCGTACAGCTGTGGCACAAATCTTGACTCTCTAACTCCCGTGCGTTGTGTGGCACATAGTTGACGCAAGCACCGTCGAATCTCTGTACGAGGATGTCCCAGTGAGAACCAGAGATAATTGGCGTGGGTTGAGAGCCTTCGTTGTTTGGTACTAACATGCGCCCATCTAGTACGTCGGACTCTGACCTCAACACTGAGTTCAACGCGTCAGTAACCTCAAGGTACGGTGAAGTATTTCGCTCCTGTTTGTAGTTGCCATTGTCTACTCACACTGTCGTATTGAGCCCTCAATATACTCGCCATTCTGCTTCGGCAATCCCTACTAGTGTGGTCTTGCAAGAGACTACCTTGCACATATCCCACTAGGCCGACAAGCGCAGCCACCTCAACCTTTCGAAGATATCACGACCCTCGTATACCTAGTACAACACGCCTACTCAGCGTCAGAATGGCACAACCTTCAGGAGATGCTCTTTCAGCTGAGGCGTTACAGCCGCCTCCGCCTCAGCTGGTCATGCAGATCGTCGTGCGCCGCGACCTCCTTGACGTTCGTCCTTCGCTTGCTTTTTCTATCTGTCTCGTCGTGAGCTGATTTGAGTTGTATATGCGCACGACGTCGACCATGATGTATGCATCAACCTGTCTGTGTAAATCAGGCGGAAGCCTGGGGCATAGGCCCGCTCATGGCCCAGGTTGCCCATGCTACTTCTGCAGTCAGTTACTTTTCTCTCCAAACTTGCTTGACGATCGATGGTCGTTCAGCTCAGCTCGGATATCCATGCCATTCGTTATAGGTCTTGCACGAAACTCGTGACCGTCCGGAGACGCAGGCATACTTGGACGATCTCGAAAACATGCGCAAGGTCCGTATCCTACTTGTCTCTCTCATTCCTCTGGCAACCGCGTTGTACATATACCTCGATACTGACCGCGCCTACATCTCTACACCCACACCCACACGCTCGGATAGGTCGTCATGCAGGTACTCCGATGCATTCCTCACCCAACCATTCTCTGCTAACTTCGCATCTCGCGCATGACGCTGTGACGCACGATTGATGGTGATATGCCACGACCAGACCGCAGACCAAACGAGCCTCCAGAAGCTCGCAGACTTGCTGTCCGCCGCCGATCCGGCAGTGCCGTACCACCTCTGGATCGAGCATCCAGAGAACGTCCCAACCTGCCTCGCGCTTGCGCCGAATCGGCGGGAGTCGAAGATCAAGAAGGCTCTGGATAAGTCGGGGGCGAGGTTGTGGAAGGGATAGATAGGGGTGTTTGCTTGTGGTCGATACGGTTGGAAAGTTGGACGAGAAGGAGAAGGATGTGAGAAGGGGGATGGGGATGTGACGGAAATGGGATTTTAATTGATACATTACTGACGGTAGAACACGAAGGGTCGAGATCGGGGAGAAAATGTGGGCACACCGATGGCCAAGAAGACGAACGAACCACGCGACCTTGATGAGATCCATCTAGTACATCTCGAGACTCATGCCGTCATGGATCTCGTAGTCCGCTAGGGTGATATGGTCCTTGTAGATCGTATACCTACATCGTCCCTATGTCAGTCCGGCAATTTCCTGTGCCTACGCCCCACATCAAGAAGGAAAGTAGAGGGGAGAAGCAGGGGTATGGGAGAGGATGCTCACCATTTCTTGAGGACAATCTTAGTGTGATCGGTGCCCGTTTGAGCAGCTATGAGCTTCTTGAGGTCGCCAACTGTATCTTCGGGACTACACTTCACTCGTACTATGTACATAGTCCGTTGTGGATGAGCTGAGGGACAGAGGAGCGGTAGAGATGTCTTGGCTACGTACCTTTGCGCCCGAGACGGTCGTTAGCGATGACCTGAGCCCCGCGAGTAGAAGGTACATGCAAGCAGTGATCAGCACAGGTATCACGGACGATGGCAGGATCGAGGTCAGCCAAGTGCTTCTATACGTAGCATAGAGGATTTATTACACACTTCAATGAGAGGCATACCGTATCGCTCAAACACCGACGAGCAACAAACTACAGAATGAGAGCCAAGTTGAAGGATGCAAGAGCAGAAGATGTCCGGCCCGGTGGGTCTGGCGCCCAGACACCTGTCGCCCGAAAGGGAAGGTATTATAAATGACTAGGGGCTGCACGTCTGAGACATCGTGATGACCATCGATGGCACCTCCCGTTTAGCTCAGTGGTAGAGCGCATCACTTGTACGAAGTTGTTTCAGAGCAGCTGACGCATATGATGAGGTCAGTCGTTCAATCCGGCTAACGGGAATTCCTTGGTTTTGTTGCTGCATGCTTCACGAACTCAGAGTGAGTTAGGCATGTAACACGATAAGCACCAAAGAGAGGGATGAATATCCCCTACTTTCTCCGATGATTACCCAAAGCGCATCTTCCGTGGATAAAGTCAACCTAGTGTCTGGCTGTGACTTGACCTTTTCGTTCTCCTGTCGGTGACCGCATTGATCGATAACACTAGTACTTGTGTCTACTATACATTGTGGATGATTCAGAACGTCTCTGCGCGCAGGACCTCTCTGTTCTCCCCAATCACTATGCCAACGGCTCTACCCGACCATGGAGGGAGCCTGTGCTGACCCGGAGCCCCTTCGTATCCTTCCGTGACGCCGTCCCCAAAAAACACATAGCCCGGGATATATCGGTCTACGAATCTGCACGAGTTGCATCAGCGTATACTCAAGAGTGACCCTCGAGAGGAGATACAAACCGCTCAACCTGCTCATCAGTCATTCCCTTGCCACCATTACGAGCCTTCATATGGTGCTCCTGTTGGAGTCGCCATTTGTAGATGAAGTCGTACGGGTGGTCTTCGGGAGGTTTGATCTATTCCAGTTGTCATTGCACGTTTCGGATGGCCGCACGATGGCCAACGTACCTGTATGAATGTGTCGAACAAATCCCACCACGAGACATATTCCCTAAGTCGCTCGTTGATTTCCAGGACGTTCTCGAGACTATATCCACGCTTCTCTAAGAAGCCGTCCTCAAGACCAAGGACGGGGCGTGCCCAGCGACGTTCGACCTCCTGCCGAGAAGTGGGGTAGAAGCCAACACACCACCCCTCAAACAGCACCACATCAATGGGCGCACGAACAACAGTCTCCCCTGGCGCGCGGTCCCCTTCTCCGCCAAACAAACTCTTGTCAAAGCCGGGGAGCTCGACTGAGCCCTTTCCTTCAGGCGAATCATTAATGAGTTTGAGCTTGTTGAGAACCTCCGTCCCTAGCGGAACGTCGTGCGTTCCAGGCTGTCCACGCCCATTCAGCAGTGGGTTTGAGGGGTGCGCTTTGGCGAGTGCGACTAAACCGGAATGCGGGAGGTAGAGATCGTCGAGCGAGAGCACGGCTACCGACAATTTGTGCGGAGCCGCTTGGAGGGTGTCCCGGAGGATGGATGTGAGGAAAGTCTTTCCGCTGCCTTGGGGTCCTTGAACGCCTATAATGAGAGGTGGGACTGGGCATGTGGGGTCGTTATGTCGTGCTCGATGCGCGTCGAGTTGTGTGAGGACGTGTGATTCCATACGAGGGATCGCATCTGGGAGGGTTGTCTAGGGGCCCGGCCAGGCCATGAGAGTGTGCGAGTTAGTGCGGTGTCGTGTTGTTACTCGGTAGCACCTGTACGTACTGCACTAGCCATCGCGACGAACACCGCCCTTGTACAGGACGGAGGTGGCGAAGGGTGAATCTTTGAAGGAGAGCATCAGCCTGGATCACATACTCGGTGAGGCGGAAGTGGCGGCCCGGTGACCTCCGGACCGCACATGTTATAAGCGTCTGCGGCAACTGCCGGACGAGCGCAGATTGCCAAGGAGTGTGCTTCGCCAAGTTGAGGGGAGTTTGCTGTCCACGTCTGTCCACGTTTCCTCTCATCCTCCTATTTCCTCGCTCGCTGGCCTCTCCACAACTATCTCAGGAACACTTTGACTAGGAATACTTGAGCGGGTAGCAAAATGATGTCGTCGTCGGACTCGGAGGCCTCGGCAGGCCCATTTCAACCCCTTCTAGCACACTACGCGAAGGCGCAGAGGCAATACCAGCAGTGGCTGGACAGGGTCACCCCATTCGCGCTGTATAGGTGGCTGAGTACGGCCGGGTTGCTAGCGTTGTTCATGTTGAGGATCGTATTCGTACAAGGAGTGAGTTCTGATCGTGTTGCGGGTCCTGCGCGGTATCAAATCGTCTGACGGGGATTGGGCTGTTCGTCTCCGGGAACTTTGGGATCCTGGAATGTAGTGGTATATCGGTACGTATACTTGTTTTTATGTAACTCAGACTGTGAGCTTACTGTGATCTTGTAGTCTGTTGTACGTGCTCCTGGTATTTTTCTTGCACAAGAGATAGGGAAGGTTGACCTCTAACGTTGAAGACGCCCACGCGATTTATCTCCTCAACCTGTTCCTCGCCTTCCTCCAGCCCCGCTTCGACCCCTCGCTGCAAGATGACCTGCTAGCAGACGAGATCGAGGAGGGCGTAGAGGGCGGCTCGTCCTCGCCCCTGCCCTCGCAGCGGGATGACGAGTTTCGGCCGTTCGTCAGGCGGTTGCCGGAGTGGCAGTTTTGGTGCGTTATACTCGTGGTGTCTCTATCTGTTGCTGGCTGCGGACTGACCTAGGCGATGGGTATGGTGTTGCGAATATGGCAGGTTGTCAGCGACGCGCGCGACAGTGATTGCGCTGTTCTGTTCGTTCTTCGAGGCGTTCGACGTCCCTGTATATTGGCCGATCCTGGTCGTGTACTTCTTCGTCCTCTTCATGCTTACTATGCGCCGCCAAATACAGTGCGTACCCATTGCTGAGACGACTTGGCTTGGTGATGCTGATCGTTATCCCCCTTCTTTTTCCGTTCCGTTGCTTCCCTACCCTTTGCAGACACATGATCAAGTACAAGTACGTTCCGTTCGATCTGGGGCGAAAGGCCCGCTATGGGGCGGCCTCGCACAGGTGAAGGTCGAAGTTGGTGGTCTTCATTTCTCTGGTGCGTTACCACCTCTATTTGGTTCTGTGCTAGTGGCGCTGACGGCGTGCAATAGGGGCGGCGCGTTTGCTATGACATCGAACGATTTGCTACGTCTACCCTACCCTGATGTTCTATTGACTCGATATAATGTAGAGGCGTTCGTGTCTGTACGAACAGGACTCACCTTTGACGCGACTTTTCTTCCGACTGTCCCGCCGTGCATACGATCGATATGACCAACACTCTTGGATCCTCTTTCCAGTTAAGCATAGCACGGTGCACTTATCCACCCGACAAAGTCTGCTAGGACTACTCTGGTATGTACATGTATATACCGTCTTGTGGACGTGGTGTGACAGCTACTGATACTTCGAACAGCGGCCTCATGACGCAGGCAGCGATGGGCGTGTTTGATAGACATCGCCATTCAGCCAACACAGGGTATTGTTCCCTTCATCCTGAGAAGGACTACCCGCTGTCTGCCCTCGGGTATATCTGCACTATCATGTCCACGGTCATCCTTCCTGTTTTCATCCTGAATTCGTCTAACTCGGGTCTTCGCGCTGCAGCTGACGCGTACTACGTACTGAAAGAAGAGAGATGCAGATCGGAATGCGGTGTTTGTTCATGTGAATGGACATAATGTTTGCGGCTGCGCAATCTGCGAAACTTCGACTTCGAGCACTAAGATCTACGACGCGGATAGTCGACGATCCGTCGCAGTCGAAGGTACGCCCAAACGGCACCTCCGTGATGCCCATTAATCACGTCAAGCAAGAGACCCATGGAAGAACATTGAAGAATGCACATATGCAGGTCTTGCTGTCTTCCGATTCAGAACGATTATGTCTCAGCATCCCACGGAAGATGTCCGAGCTCTTGATATCGGCACGCGACCACGCCCTTCACGACCTCCATGGGTTCGACCTTCCCATCAACCGCATCACGCGCATCGTGGCGGCCTTGCCGGATGCGCTCCCCAACCCTCGCTGTGGAAGGACATCCTGCAGACCCTCGGCGTGGTACCCAAATAGTATGACCTATCGTCACGATTTACCACCAAATACAGAGCTGCCAGCTGCTCGCACTCCTCGTGTGCGAAAGACACTGCTATTCCAAGAGGTCGAGGTGTTCTCTCACTCCGCTCCTTATGATCTTCAATGGCATCAATGCAAACCCTAACCTAGCGTTCATCCCCCCACTCGCGGAGTCTCACTGCCACATCCCGAAGCTCGTTGAGTTATACTCATTTCTCCCATATGTTTGATGGGAGCGCCAGATGACGATCGTCGGGGGTACGAAGAACAATGATTTGGCAAGACCGAGTTGCACTCACATAGCACGTTATGCGCCGTTATAAGCTATTCTCTTATCGTCACTTGATACCATCATCGGCGAAGGTGGTTGTGTGTCGATCGAAACAGTGATTCTCGTAGAGCCGACGGGAGGGCATGACGGGGAGTTGGCAGAGTGAGATGAACTGAACAACGAGGAAGCAACTCATCAGCATCCTTGCACGAAGAGCTTAGTGCACAGTAAGGAGAGTCTTGTACAATTGTAGGAAGGCGCAAAGGAATTCGAGAAGTAACTGCCGCCCTGCGCCCTTGGTAGTGGTGTTGTCAGTTGTCATGATATAACTCCACGATCTCAGCGGAAGCGGAGCCTCAGATTCTATGGCGAATGCACATTTCTCGACGAAGGAGGTTACCATTACCACACGCTGTACACTGTCACGGTGCCGGGCAACTTTTGTCTAGCCGGTCACGGTCCAATCTGGATCCATCGCCCAGCCCAGTGGTGTACCTTTCCAGAGTGAATGGAAGTAAAGGGTTGATCTTCGACAGGCAGGGTCCCGGAGCTCGACGGTATTCGGTGACAATGCTGCCTGAAACCATCCTTCGTTCATCCATGACCACGCCTGCCTCGTGTATAATGTCAACGGCTGGATCCTTCTGCAAGGTCTAGTAGAGAAAGTTCAAGTACAATTGCGATGAACCTGTACAACAGATGTAAGAAAGAACGGGCCGCGGCGGTAACAGACATCGGACCATGGCTAACCAAGGGAAGGAGGGAAGCCACTCTCCGGAATACGAGATGTAGCATAAGAATAGAGGACATTCGATTGAATGAGCCGGAAGCCAAAGGCGTAAGTACAGGCTGCATGCCGCATGCACAGCAACTGGCAGTCGTTATGGACACGACGTTCGATGCGGTCTCAGTGCATTTGTACGAGGTGAGCGAGTCACTCAGCTACTCCGAGTTCTTCTCTGCACGCGCTGCTGTGTATTGTATGCGCG